ATGTTTTTCCCCTGTGGTTACTGTAACGTTCACATAGGATATCCTATATAAGGACATGCCTGTTTTAAGTTGGTAGCAATTTAAATCTGAACATGTTCCAAAGCATTATCTTTTCACTCACATCCCTACCTATGTTTTATATATTTGTTGACACATTTTACATCTTTTTTTAAACATCTTTATTGGAGTATAATTGCTTTACAATGATGTGTTAGTTTCTGCTGTATAACAAAGTGAAGCAGCTATGCATATACGTATATCTTCATATGTCCTCCCTCTAACATATCCCTCCCACCCTCCCTATCTCACCCCTATAGGTGGACACAAAACACTGAGCAGATCGACTTGTGCTATGCAGCTGTTACCCACTAGCTACCTATTTTACATTTGGTAGTGTATATATATCCATGCCACCTCTCTCACTTCATCCCAGCATACCCTTCCCCCTCCCCATGTTCTCAAGTCCATTCTCTATGTCTGCATCTTTATTCCTATCCTGCCCCTAGGTTCTTCAGAGCCATTTTTTTTTAAGATTCTATATATATGTGTTAGCATACAGTATTTGTTTTTCTCTTTCTGACTTACTTCACTCTATATGACAGTCTCTAGGTCCATCCACCTCGCTACAAATAACTCAGTTTCGTTTCTTTTTATGGCTAATATTCCATTGTATATAGGTGCCACATCTTCTTTATCCATTCATCTGTTGATGGACACTTAGGTTGCTTCCATGTCCTGGCTATTGTAAATAGAGCTGCAATGAACATTGAACATCTTTTTGAATTTGCATTTTCTTCACATATGTGCCCAAGATTGGGATTGCAGGATTATATGGCAACTCTATTTTTGGTTTTTTAATGAATCTCCATATCATTCTCCATAGTGGCTTCACCAGTTTACATTCCCACCAACAGTGTAGGAGGGTTCCCTTTTCTCCACACCCTCTCCAGCATTTGTTATTTGTAGCCTTTTGATGATAGCCATTCTGACTGGTGTGAACCTTCCTTTTAAAGACTGAATAATATTACATATATAGACTACATTGTAGTGTAAACATAACTCCTATATGCACTGGGAAACTAAAAAATTCATGTGACTTGCTTTACTGCAATATTTGCTTTATTGCCGTGGTCCAGAACTTAACTTGAAATATCTCCGAAGTGTGCCTGTTAATACGCCACATTTTCCTTATCCGTTCACCCATTGACATTTAGGTATTTCCTTATCTTGGCTATTGTGAATAATGCTTCAATTTTCACAGAAGTGCAGCTATCTCTTTGAGATAGTGATTTCATTTCCTTTGAATATATACTCAGAAGTGGGATTGCTGGATCATATAGTAGTCCTATTTTTAACTTTTTTGAGAAATCTCCAAACTATTTTCCATATTGACTGTACTAATTTTCATTGCTGTCAACAGTGTATGATGGTTCCCTTTTCTCTACATTCTTGCTGACACTTGTTATCTTTTTTTTTTTGCGGTACGCGGGCCTCTCACCGCCGTGGCCTCTCCTGTTGCGGAGCACAGGCTCCAGATGCGCAGGCTCGGCGGCCGTGGCTCACGGGCCCAGCCGCTCCACCGCATGTGGGATATTCCTGGACCAGGGCACGAACCCGTGTCTCCTGCATCGGCAGGTGGACTCTCAACCACTGCGCCACCAGGGAAGCCCTATATCTCTCTTTTGATAATACCTATTTTAAGTAACTTTGGATTAACTAATCTTCTTCATGCTTCTATCTCATTGGGTAAAAAGGCTGTTATGACATTGCTTAAATTTGCCGAAGCCTGGCCAGCCTGCCAAGACTCTTACCTTAGAATTTTGACTTAATAATTATTTGTCCCTTTCTGACTTGATGCCTCATTTGGACCAGCTTCCCTAGTGGTAATTTGTGTTAATGTTACCGTACCTAGGTGTATCCCCATGTCAGAGGAGGTAAAACAGACCCAAGTCCTGGTAAGGGTCTCAGGTCTCCTGAGGGCCATGTGAGGCTGCTACCTGGCATATGGTAGTGCTCAATAAGTGTCGGTTGAAATAAATGTCCCTAAATGTCCCTGTGGACTGCTACTCCACTCATAATTTATTTTTCTTTGGAAATATGATTGCTTCTATAACTTTTTAAAGTCTGACATTGCATGAATGAAAATTTTTTGCCATCCTGTTGTAGATTGAACAAACGTTGACAAATTGCAAACATTATCTCTACATGTAAATTGCCTTAACGATTTTTATATCATTTATAAGTTAGTCTTATTATTGCTCTTGTGATCTTCATTATAAAACAAGTAAATGAGTATTCTACTCAGTCAGAGCACACAATGAGACTTAAACTCCCAATAGGTCCAAGTCACAAATATGTCATTTTCCAGGAGCTTGACTTAGGGAATGTATTTAATCTTCTTCTCTTAGCCTCATTTTCCTCACCTATAAAATGTCAGTGACCTCGTATTATAGGTAATGCAGTTTGTGAATTTTAACACATTGTCGCTGCAGATATTATGCAGCTGCTTTGACTGGGATCGTTATTGTGATTAAAGAAAACAAACTTTATGTGTCCTCCTGAAGCTAGTGTTTAAATAGCTTTATAACGCCTTTCTATAGAAGGAATGCGTAATCAAATTCTTGTTCCACTGTAGCTAAACACAGGGGCAATTGTCTTATTTCAACTGTATAGGCCCCATAAGAGTACTTCTTCCCTAAAACTATTTTTAATAATTCAGACTTTCAGAGTGAGCCGGAATACTGGATAGAGAATCATGAGACTTGGTTTCTATTTCTGACACTAACTAATTCAGTATTCTTTTGGGACAAGGCATTTGACCTCGTTTTACTTTAGTTGTACCAGCTGTAAATTGTTATCAAAAATGGTTTCTGATATAGAAAATCTGCAAAGTTACTTTTATTGGGGAAAATATCATTTTTAAAAATTATGAATAAGTTTTGAAAATTAAAAGAACGTTACTTAAAGAAAAAACAAAGAAGGTACTTTCTAAGTGAATGGTTAGGTGCATAAACCTCTTTCACCATAATTGTTTGCAAAGATATCTGTCTGGTATAGATAGAATCAATATTAATTGTTAATTTCCCTTTCCCTTCAAAGGAAACACATGAGAGAAATCTTTGGCTTCCTTTTAAGGACATTTTAAAATAGCAAAAAGCAAAAAGGCATTGTACTTTTTTCCTTTTGTTAATAGAACAACTGCAAAGACCAAACTCCTTGGGGAATGGTGTGAGAATCCCATGCTTGACCACATGTATTCCAGCAGGGCTCGGCTGATGGTGTTTAGTCCTTTCTGGTTAAAATTGGCCAGACTACAAACTAAGGATGGAGAATGTCTAAGTCAGTTTCCCTCCTGCGATTCCTTCAAACTTTAAAAAATTTAACATGTCCTCACCATTCTTGCTTGTGGTGCTTTTTTCCTTGCTTATCCCTGACATTAAAGTTACCCACTGATGAGACGGTCCCGTGGAATGGAAACAAGGTTAGACCTCTCTAAAAACTAGGGGTTAATCAGATGTGCTAGTGCGTTCCATCAACACCGACCACACTTTGATTTTTACGTTTGCTAATTGACTTTAAAAAAGGAGACGTTGTTTGCAACAGCTGCAACTAAAATTGCTAACTTAAGGCCTAAATAATTCATACCGTGTGTCAGTTCCTATTTCGAACTCAGAAAACATTGCTCATGTCCAACCCCAGCCTGTTAGAAGTAGCCCTGGGAAAGTTTCAGAGTACGTTTCCAGAGCAGACCATAGCATCAGGCCTTATTTCTCTCCCCAGCCATTTTTAGTCACCAAACTCTCTGGGAAACTGAAGTAGCCAAGTTTTACATCAGAGATGAAAAAGATTTCCAAATTAGTTCTGGGTCTCCAGAGGATACCTAAAGGACTTAATATTACTAGTGTATGTTTATTATTCGGCAGTCGTCTAAAGTTTAGTCCTTTATATTTTAACAAAACAATAAGAAAGAATTTTTGCTTTTTCTGAGAAGCTAAGATGTTAACACTAACCTCACTGCCTACAGTAGGAGTGGTGGAAATGACGCATCTCAGATGGAGGAATGAAGGAAAAAACAGGAGTGGTGAAAACGACACATCTCTGAGGGAGGAATGAAGGACTAAAAGGAAGGAGTTTTGATGAAATAAAACTAAAATATAATTTTTAAAAATTATGAACAATATTTAAAAATTAAAGGAAGGTTAATTTAAAAAAAAGAAGGTACATTCTGTTGTAAAGTGAATGGCGAGGTGCAGAAACCTCTTGCACTACAATTGTTTGCAAAGATATCTGTCTGGTATAGATAGAATTAATGTTAACTTTTCTTTCCCTTCAAAGGAAACATATAGGAAAAATCTTTGGCTTCCTTTTAACGACATTTTAAAACAGTAAAAATCAAAAAGGCATTGTACTTTTTTCCTTTTGTTAGTAGAACGACAACTGCAAAGACCAATAAGAGTTTTGATGAAATAAAAGAGGATTTATTCCTATTCAGCTTTCCTCAAACTCCATTGCCTAGTTTAAATGTCCATCCTTCCTTGTGTGGCTTCACAGTATTGACAATCTCTGATTGAATCCCTGATTTTTTTATTCAAGAGATTTCGAAATCCATCAGGATTACCTCTCTATTAGCAGAAATTCTGCTCTAGGGAGTTTCTGATGAACCCAGAAAAAACATCATGGGTAGATCACTGGAACTCATGCTATTTACCTAGTAACTTAGCTTGAGAGAAACTAAATGGTAATAGCGGAGTGTTTCAGGCAAGCTTGACTAGGATACTGCAGTATTTTTGACGTGTCAAAGTAACGTTAAGTCTGTGATAAGATGGGATGACAATTTCAGGATATTGTCTCTTCCTTAGCAAATCTAGGACATCGATTCATGCTAAATTTATACACACACGCAAACATCACATTTCTAATGTGTGATTCATCTTATCTAAATAAATAGGGCAAATTATCACAGCAATTAGGATGAAACAGAAGACTTGGTGCTTCAGGTCTGCTGCTGTAAGTAATTTATATTCTGGAAAAGAGGACCTGGAAAAAAAATGGGAGAGGTAAAAGCTAAAATACTTCGAAGTAAATGTGAACTATGTCTGCACATTCCAAGCTTCAGAAATATGTGAAACTTGTGCAATAAGTTCTAATTCTCCCAAAGAACAGTCAGAACTCCATTTTTACAAAAATACAGAAGAGAGAATGGGGGAGGTTTTGATGGCTTTTAGAAATCTAGCTTAATTGTTCTATTCCAAACTGAAAGAAAAAAGTAAGAGTAGTAGAATCAAATTTTCCTATCTGGAGGCTAAGTTGTTATTTATTATAGTTATAAATTAACTGATTTGCTGTTTAACTCTTTTTGGTTCTCTAGAATTCTAGTGGTAAGTTCTTCACTGAACAGTGGTGTGAATAGCATAATAGTAGTCTAATGTCATTTAATGGAATTTCATCTAATTTTGTAGCCATTTTTTGCAGGCTGGACAGTTTGGCTTGTCTTAAGTCTGCATCTTTTCAAAGATAGATTCTATAGTCTTTTCTTAGACCAAAAAACTAAAACCTTGACCAAAAAAAGTGTGTGTGTGTGTGGATTGTGTGTTTGTGTTATTTAACCTCTTAGTATCATGTTTCATACTTGTATAAAGGGAGTAATAGTACAACCTACCTTAAATGACAGCTTTGAGACTTACACAAGTTAATGATTCTAAAGCGCCTCAGTTATAATAAGTATAAAATAAATTTAGGTATTTTAATGAATGTGGCAATCAGAAGTGTTTATTCATATTCAAAAATCTGAGTGCCTATTTTGTAGCAGACACGGATGTGGCAAAACTTATCTTGTATATTCTCAGTCGTCCAATCTCATAACTTATAATTGATATATAATGTATAATTTGCATACCAAATAATTCTGCATGCTAGAATTTTTGCAGGCAAACTTTTCTGGGAAATTCATGTAGTACTATAGAAATGAAGTTAATGATGTTTATCTTAGGTAGAGTAAGTGAGGTCTTAGCTTGAGTCAAGAATGCTCTTAAGAAAAAAATTTACTACAGAGATAAAGAAAATATTGCCTATCTATCTATCTATGTATCTACTTATCTATCTTTGTGTATTTCCTTCATTCTTTTCCTCTCTCCAACTGTTCAATTTCTATTCTCCTTATGTACATTTCTTTTCACTTTTTCTTTCTTTAATCCTTCCTTCTCCCCACTCTTCCTTCTTCAGATGATGGTTATTATTGCTCAAAAGCTGACACACACTTTACCTATTCTGCATGCTTCGGAACTGGGATTTATGAATACAACTTATTTTCTTATACAGATGTCTGCAGGATAACTAAACACACCCTGGTCTCTCATAAAGACATGGCTTTCCAGGGGAGCCTAGCCATGGACTGATTGGATTTTTGTTCTAACATGTTTGTTTTATTTGGGAACGCTGCACCTATTAGCACTGTTGAGGTGTCTACCACCCATCTATGCTGAGTTTATTTTCTAGCTTAATTCAAGAATTCTGGAATATATTTAAGATGATTTTGTAAAAATACCTAGTTTTACTCCATGGGACTCTGAGTGCCATGTTGGATGCATCTCTGACTGTGGGAAAATATGGAACAATTCTAACTTGGTTTGAGATTTTACTATTTTCTTGTATATCAGAGGTCTTTATTAAAATAAATGATACAAATAAATAAATAAATAAATGATACAACTCAGAATGATCACATAGAGATTGGGTTAATACTTATGTGGGCCAGAATCACCATCTTTGGACTGAAAGAGTGAGTGAATTATGAGCTATCTCAGTTGTATATCAGTCTCCTGTATATCAGATTGAATAATCTTTTTTGGTATGGAAATATAATAAATTAGTACTAGATCGTGAGGCAGTATATTTGGAAATTAAATGACCCTGAAAACAAGATAGCTATATACATCGACCAAATTACTAACAAATTGAATTAGTCAGTGTTTGGTTAGTAAAACAATCACCATTCAACATATTTCAAATGGGAATAAATTTAATACAAAGAATTGGATACCTACAGAATATTTGGAAGGACGGGGGCGCCACAAGTCAGGAAAACGTCTGCTGCCATTGCTTCTCACTGACAGATTGTAAACCAGGACTCTTCTGGCAAGAGATTCCATCAGCAGAACGTCCTGTGGTACAGGGGAGAGTTTGAAGGTGACGGAGGATGTTGCTGATGTGACACTGGATCGTCTCGTGAGAGTAGTCCACAGTCTGGGAGCCTTGGAAGTTCCCATCATTGGTCTGTGTATCACTATCTACTGGACCTGTAGGATGTACTGATCCAGGAGGCATCAGTTCCCCTTCCTGTATTTTGCTTTGGATGATGATAAAATACAGAGACATAATACTGTAAAAAATGGAGATATGGGGATATATGTATATGTATAGCTGATTCACTTCTTTATAAAATAGAAACTAACACACCATTGTAAAGCAATTATACTCCAATAAAGCTGTTGAAAAAGAAATTGTACTCACCTTAACAACATGGAGGAATAATTGAAGATAGAATGAGCAATATTTATATAATTCTGCAGAAACAGGCCAGGGTATTTTTTTAATTAACGTTTTAATTTTAGAACAATTTTAGTTGTACAGAAAAATTGTAAACGTAGTACAGAGAGTTTCCGTACACCTTCATCCAGTTTCCCCTATAATTAGTATCTTACATACATATGGTTCATTTGTTATAATTTATGAACCAGTATTGATACATTAACTAAAGTCCACTTTATTCCTATATCCTTAGTTTTAACCTAACATCCTTTTTCTCCAGGATCCCATCCAGGATACCACATGACTTTTTTTTTTTTTTTTTGGATGATCATGACAGTTTTGATGAGAACTGTTCAGATATTTTGTAGTAGGTCTCCCAACCGGGATTTGTCTGGTGTTTGTCTTATGATTAGGTTGGCGTTATGGGTTTTTTAGGAGAAAGATCACAGAGGTAAAGCGCCATTTCATCACATCATAAGTGTACGCATTATCGTGATTTACATAATAAAGGGTGCATGACACCATGATTTATCACTGTCGGTCTTGACCTTGATCACACAGCTGAGGGTTTTTTAATTCACAAATGATAACATTTTATTATAGAGAAAACATCCCAAATATAGGATTTCGTAAACACTGGTAGGTGAACAAGTGCAACTTTAAAAGTAAATACAAAGTAAAGAGGCAAAACCTACAAGCATTTTGTCTTTGAGAGAAAATGTAATGTTCTTCTGCGGAGGTGATCCCACCCAGAGCACGAATATGGCTCCATCCTCCATAAAGGTATCAAGTTTGCTTTCTGAACTATGTCCAGTTTAACGATTTCAAAATGATGGCAAGAAGCGACATTGAAAAAATCACTGAGACTGATTAACTTTCTATTGACTCTTACTCGATAAAGGATCCCCATCACACTTTCTTCTTCAGTATGGAAGAGGGAGAAAGGAAGAGTAAATTTCAGTGGTGAAATCTGACAAACAAAATCTCAGCTATCCCCCAAACTGGGTTAACATGCTTTTGGCCCCAACCCTTAGGGTCTGAGTGAGCTAGAAATCTGTGGAGGTAAATCTGCCAGTGTTGCCACGTGGTGGTGACTGAGGGAAAAACTGGGCCCACAGGTTCCCTCTGGTGGAGAGGAGGTTTCTTCTGCACCTCCACATGCTCCCAGCCTGGAGAGCAGCATCTCTGTAATCTGCCACAGCTGCTCTGTTCCCAGGGCCAGGACATTCTGTGGTGGCAGGACCTCGCAGTTCTCACAGGGACGAGAGCTGGGTTGCAGTCATTCCCTTCAGAGTCAGTTACTGGCCAGCTGGACAAGAGGTGTTTCTAATTAAAAAGGTGCAACTCAGGTTTGGTGTTTTTTTAAGTGCCTAAATAACTAAGCCAGGCTGTTTATACAGAAACATTTTCATAAGAAAATGGTTTTACCCAGACTGTCTTATTCAGAGGTATCTATCTCAGCTGCCCAAGATAAACCTGAATTTGAGGTTTAGGACCTGAGCTTGTGTCTGCATCATATCATGTATTATTGATTAGCAAACATTTGCCATTAAGGAATTGGGAGCAGGCAAAGAGACATGGTTAAAATGTGTCTGGTAAGATTACTTAGTGATTTCTCCAAATTGGAGAAACCGTAGTAAAAGAATGACAGTAAAAAAGATAAGGAAGCTAGAAAGTAGCTGGATTTACTGCATGATATACAATAGCCAATATTATTTTGAACTCAATTCTGTGTGATACCTAATGTATACAGGTCTATTAAAATACTGTATATTTACAGTACTTATTGGAATAAGCCCAGGAAGGATGCATAGTGTTCCAGCAGGTCCTTCTGTAAGTAAAAACAGAGCACAGGTTTTAAACTGTCAAAGTGTGATGGGGAGCCTTTATCGAGTAAGTGTCCATAGACAGTTAAGAATCAGTCTCAGTGATTTATTCAATGTCACTTCTTGCTATCATTTTGAAATCGTTAAACTGGGCATAGTTCAGAAAGCAAACTTGATACCTTTATGGAGGATGGAGCCACATTCGTGCTCTGGGTGGGATCACCTCCGCAGGAGAACATTACATTCTTTTACATGGGAGATTTGTCCCTTCTTCCCCATTTATTGATTTATTCAGTCAGTAATTTATATCATTATTTACTCATGGACATTTATTTTATACTTTGGGTTATAATCCAGGACTATTTAATTTATTTTTTTGCTCCAATTTCTCCAGCTCTGGCTATTGGGAACGCTTTCAGTCAGTGCCTGTGTCCCTTTGTCATACTACCATCCTTGTGGGGTTTTTCTTTTTTTGATCACTTTCTTACTTTCCGTCACTACAAAATTCTTCGGGCTCATCTTGTTTATTTCCTACCTTATTTCTAAGATCAGCACTTCTTTAAAGAGACTTGGTTCCTTTGATTGAAGAATAGTATTAGAAACCAAGATCTTTACCCTATTAAGTGAAGTAAGACAGACAGAGGAAGACAAATGTCATATGATATCACTTATGATATAGCTTATTTAAGTTAAAATAGCAAAGCATTAACTAAAGAAACATAGGATACTTCTTAAATTTTTGTATCGTCAATTGTTATATGATAGTTTTGCATCATCATTTGTTTTAAGATATTTTTGCATGCTTGCTACCTTATAATATCTCTTTTATGGAGTAGAGGAAGCGTGTTCTGAAAGCCCAAAACTGAGAAAGGAAAGGTTCTGATTATGTCATTCCTGTCAACCATACTGAATAAAAAGAAGAGAGAAATGTCGTCAGGAGAATAGCTATGACCAGATTTTTTCCCATGGTGCTTAATGGTGAACCACAGTCTTCTGACTTGCCCCATGGAACACTTCTTGAATCCTTACATAGACCTTTATAACACCTCAGTATTAAGTGAGAAACCAGGGAAGCAATATTTGGTTACCATCTATTGTCAACTTGAGTAGAAGTTAAAAATGTATTACTAAAAGAACCCTTTTTTACTAAAATCTCTCTCAGAATTCTCAACCTTTTATATTACTTACCAAGCAAATTTATTCGTCATTTTTTTTTTCTCCCAAAAGAAGGAAGATGTTCCTTTCACTTTTGGTCAAAAGCCCTTCAAAACAATTCCTCACCTGTTGTGTTAAAAACTGTGCCAAGTGTTTGGAGGACGCTAAGACAGAGATCTTGTTGTGCAAGTTAAATGAAACTAAAATACAGTGACAGAGATGAGGTACACTGATAATTACAATTCTCATTCACTTCACAAATACACAAACAATTAGAGGAATGAGGCTCAAGGAAATATATTGAAAGCAGAGTTTTGGGAGTTGTGAGCACTAAGAGACCGTGTCTCATTGGGTGATTGGGAGTTTCTGTAAAAGGCTGGAGGAGGATGTGATTTGAGCAGGTGAGGTCATTCCTGACAGGAGCAAAGCTGAAGAGAGTGTGGGGTGTTTTGGTGGATGAGCAGGGAGTTTTAGAGTCCATGCATCATGATGAATATTGTGATATAAGATTAAAAATAGGTAGGTAGACCAGGACACGGAAGCAACCTAAATGTCCATCAGCAGAGGATTGGATAAAGAAGATGTGGTACATATATACAATGGAATATTACTCAGCCATAAAAAGGAACTAATTAGTGCCATTTGCAGAGATGTGGATGGACCTAGTAACTGTCATACAGAATGGAGTAAGTCAAAAAGAGAAAAACAAATATTGTATAATATCGCTTATACATAGACACAAGATACATAGACACAAGAGTCATGTCTGAGAAGTTGTTTTTCTCAGACAGTGGTTCTCTCCTTGCTGTTTTTTCCTTTCTCTTCGCTATAGAAGCGGCCAGGTGGCTGTAATATCACGAGTCTTTTGAAGAGCACAAAGGGAACACTCCACGTTTAGAAGGTGCAGCACCCCAGGGAGATGGTGGATTCCTCTTCCCAGGAGAAGCAGCCACGTGGCTCAGAAGACTTGTTATGCTGCGTCAGACCTTAGAAACCAGTCCCCAGCCCAGGGGAACCACTGGATTTTTGAGATTGTATTCTAGAAAGCTGCAGTTACTTAAAATTCAGTTGCTTGTTGATTTTCGATGCTTAGGAAATCATCTTTCAATAAAGTGAAAATGTTAACATGAGGAGCATTTTGCAAAGAGTTCTTGTATTGTTCAGACTGCCTTGGATACCAGAGTGAGTCGGTTCATATACGAGCCTCGTAGCAGGATCAGTGGTGTCAGGGGCCAGAGCCCTGCACCCACTGACTTTGAAGAACCACAAAGAGGAGGTGTCAGAGCACCTCCTTTCAACACACACACACACACACACACACACACACAGACACACAACTTGTGCTCAAGGGGGGTAGGGAAACACCAAAGTTTCACACTCTCAAGGGCTGTGCCATCTGCCCAGTGACCTTTACTCTGTAAGCCCTCGGAGAAAGAACATGATCCCAATAAAGACCGAGCACAAAATTCTTACCAATTTGTCAGGAAAGGGGGTCAGAACTCATTAAAAGTGAGTTAGGGAAATGAACGTGATGTGCTCTATTTACGAGCATTGTGGTGGTAGTCAATTCATAGCTAATATGGGTTAATTATGATAAAATTTTAGAATTGTTGACAGAAATAACTAGATAGGGAATGTTTGGGCAGGATTAA